ATTTACAAGAAATGATGACGCGCCTATGTATTAAGTTAAAAATAGGTGTGTTACTAGCTAGAAGTGTTTATCAGACTTACAGTTTTTGGGTCTCACCTGAGGGAAAGTGCAATTTTCATGGTAAATTCAAATGGTCAGTGATCCTTGGTCTTAGTAATAGAAACATCTGCTGTTCATGAAAGCAAGCAGTTTGGGGCAGTTTGAATTTGACCACAAGATGACAGGGAAAACTTTGTTTATATGCAAAGAACAACATTATAACACACTTATTATTGTAAGATATCTCATGTAAAAGAAGAATATTAATAATATGTAAATTAAAACATTCCCCAATGCATTTATGTAAGTTATTTATGCATCTGATAGAAATCATGGATCATATGCAAGATTGTGCATACTTATATAGTTTTGATTCAGATTCAGTTTAGCTACAGAATCAATACATTTTTGCCCATGTTTTTGTTTTGTACACAATGGGGTGGCTTTATCTATCTCGCTGCTAAATTACGGGTGAGTAAAAACAGCGTGTTCAATTCAATTGGATAGTTCTATAGGACATCTGCATAAATCAGTTTGCTCCAGTGTCAGTAACTTTTCAAATTGTGAAGAGAGAGGGAAACATTTTGAAGACAAGCACTGGTTAGACCCACCCATGCTAACCACTTAATTAATTCAATTCTTTGAGTCCTCTCGATTTCGGTTTAACTATTCTCCTTGAGCAAATCTCACCAACTAAAGTTATACCAAGAGGAGGTACTATTTGAAATATATTATTGTTGAAAATAGCTTTCCGCATCGTCAGAAATATAAATTAATTTAAAAATGAAATACACTTGAAGTTGCTGCCATCACCTCTAAGGCGCGATCAGTTTTGCACACACACAAATCTTTGATAAAGTTACCCCATTGTGTAGGAAATAAACACATCACATTTTCCATTCACAAATGAAAAGAGCGTTGAAAAGTGAAAATCCAACCAAATCTGTGTCAGTTCATATCGATTGTGAGAGGAGACATAAAAACACAATAAAGGATTCCCCATAAAAGCGTGTGCAAGTAACCATAGTGCGGGGCTCAGGGCGGACAGCTTTAGCCCCTATATGGTCAGGCCCGCTGCCTAATGGCCTGTGACGGAGGTGCATAGCTGAGATGGACTGTATTTAGCCCCGCGTTAGAGATTGAGCGGCGAGCGGAGCAGGTACACTTGATTCCACGTCAAATGCCATCATATCACATCACCTCCAATCCTTGCAATACAGTTCCCAGTCCAGTGTTCCATTAAACTTTTATACGGCACTTAATGTTGATCGCCCGCACCAACCATCCACAGTTACCGCAGAGACAGTTCAAGTGGCCACGACAATGGACCTCTACATGAAAGAAGACATCGTGCACTTTTGTCTGTCTTATAATCTATGACACATGTGGATCATTGTGATACATTTGAAATCTTCACCAATACAAGATGAGAGTCAAGAAACACGTTTTCACAAGCGCAAGCAATATGGAACAAAAATAATAGTTGCGCGATTTGCTAACGGGATCGGATGTCATCACTTTCTTCTAATTTCAATTAGAAGAAATGAGTAGAGATGTCGCAATTTCAAATTTGGCTAGTGTTTTTATGAGAGAAAACAGCTAAATGTAATTCATATTTGTTATTATTGACTCAATTTTCTTTGTCTAACATGGTACAATTCGTCTTCCAAATTCCTGGGTGTTTGAAGAGGATATAAACTTAATTTGAACAATAAAAAATAAAAAAATATGCATATGGAAAAGTTTCACCTTTAACAATGAGATTTGACTACGCTGCTATTAATATAAAACCTACTAGTTAAATATATATATAGCAGAAATGTGTAATCTAAAATCATGAAAAAAACATCTAAAAATACCAAAAATAATTTATCACACATAGAAGTGAATTCACAGGTCAAAAATATGACATCTTTAATGTTGATCAGCTCGCATCAACCAACCAAGAGGGGTTACCACACACTTTTCCAGTGGTCGCAACTCCCTACCTCCCCATTAAAAATGAAACAACACAACAACAGCAACGTTTTGAACCAACGCAATGGAAAAAAATGCCCGCTTATGCCGTCTTTTTCATGTGTTACAGCAGGCGCCCTGTACGACCAGACTACAACTGCTCCGGGCCGGTGCTTGTATCATGAAAGAGAATCAAAACACAAGGGGAAAAGGGGAGAGTCAACCCATGACCCCTCCATTCAAAAGAGTCAAGGAGCCCCGAACGGTTTGGAGAGGAGTTAGCTTAACAAATCAAGTCCAACTTTTGAGACGTGTGAAAGGGTGACTCCGGAGCTCAAGGGCCTGCACTAAACTGTCTCTGAGGAAAATCTTCAAAGAATAGAAGGGGAAGGGTTATTTATGAACTGATAATGGGATACAGGACTGTTTGTTGTAAGTCTGAACTTGGCTTGACAAAATCAGATATAAATTAATACTAAAACTAGTATTGAAACTAGATGATAATTTGAGCAAGAATAGATGCTAAATAAAACAACATAGTCAGGAGAAAATTGGCAAAATTGGCAAGTTTTAAGATATATCAGTATAACATTGTGGCCTGGTAAAAAGTATTATACATGTGAGTTGAAAATTAGTTTATTTTCCAAAAGGAGCATTTATCGAGCAGGTAGAAGGTGAGCATTTAAAAGCATTTATATTGGTACCGATATTGATATGAGGTTTTTTAGTCTTGACATTTATTTTGAAATGTTGTATCGTGACAACACTAGTTTTGAACCAGGGTGGAAATGCCATGGAAATGCCATGGAAATGCCATGAAAATGCGTACCTGGATAATTTGCTTTGATTTTTACCCATTGGATTGAAGCCAAAAAGACAGCTTTTTTTTTGTTATGATAGTAAGACTACATGGACTCCCAAAAGTGAATCCGCACTTTAATTGAAAAAATAAAATAAAAACTGCTGTAGCGCAATATCAAACACCATTGGGCTCACATACACCGGAGGCTATTTAACACTTTTAAATCTTACCATTGGGATGACTGAAAAAATATCTCATAATCTCTACCAAATAATGAAATCCAGGAAATATATGAATAATATTTAAGTATTTTAGCTACACAACTAGAAACACTGTATGGGATTTGGTCGGATTCTGTTTTTCTAAGCTCAAACAAACTTTGAGATATTACGAGCAGCCTCCATTCTATAGCATTGCAGTCTGCTTTTTTGTAATTCCACACGGACAACATCATGAATAAAGCAGCTTCGTTTGCCCTACGCTTGTCCTGACCGTTCACCTTTGAAAGCCATCGCCTTTACGTGTGAGAAGGACACTGGGTCGCATCCCTTTATCAAATTGGGATAATGAAAAAAAATCAGAGTAGCTTTCTGTTATCCCTCTATATCAAAGGGTCGCCCGTACGCAGGGAGTACACAGCAGCCATCAGTTTACCTGCTTATTCAGATGCAGGATGCCGGGACATAATGGCTCATCCAAGGTTTACTCTAACCTCTCAAAGCTCAAACCGGGTTTTCCTCTCCATGCTCGTTTTTCAATCTGTCATCTGCTCTTACTTTCAGCCGACCCTCTCTCTCTCTCTCCTTACATTTTTTTATCTTATTTTGACATTCGCCATTTTTCACAAAACTCCTCCTCCTTCTCTCTTCACCCGGTCCCCTTGCTTGCTCGCTCGCTCCGGTGCATGTGTGTGTGTGTGTGTTTGAGTGTGTGTGTATTGGGGGAGATATGGCAGGTAACAGGTGCCTCCATCATCTTCTCACTGTCACACACTGCTGACTGGGGAGAAAAGGGAAGTTCAGATATGGAAGCTGGTATACTGCCACCGCTATCCACTTTGGCTGTATCTGTTTGGTGAATAAAAGCAAATTAAATGATTGTTTATTATCCAGAGCAGTCTGAGTAATCTGTATGCTAAGGTTGAATCCTATGCTCCATTACCCCCATTGCTTTTACTTAAATAGATAGTGTTCCTTAGTTGTAATACGTGACACCAGTGAATCATCACTATACTTTTTAAATCCCAGCTTGATCTGAAACAAGTTTAGAAAAGAGACAGGTGAAGTACTTCTTTATCAAAAACTACAGAGAGGTTTTATCAAATCAAATGACAACATAGAAGTTTTTATGCTGTTTTGCCAAAATACCTGCATGTACAAGTAAAGAACGGTGTGTCTTGGTGGCGGGTATTGTCAGAGAAGTGGCATCTGCAGTAGAACAAAGATTGCTCAAGCTTACATGTGCTACTATATATTACATTTATGTTTGAGTGGGTAAATGAGAAGGAAAAGACTATGACAAATTGGTTAAAAGGTCCCAAAAGTTGTGTTTGCACAATATGCCCTTCAAATGAATCAAAGTTGGAAATGTAATAAAAAGTTCTATAAATGCTTTGGTAATTTGGCCAATGATTGAACAAAGAATTCCACTTGACTAGTATTGTAAGTTTTCTGGAACTGCTGCCTCAGAGACACACTTGCAATTTTTTCTTCTACCGTAGCTCTCTTGTGAGCTCACAAAAGCTCAGGCCAAAGTTTTTATTTTGTTTGCTGTCTTGCAGTTCTTCCACAGACAGCTCCTAAAGTACCTCCAATGTTTTCAATAATCGAGTAACAAAAATGGACTGATCCATGCAGGTCTGTCTACACAACTTTTCGTTTACCGCGTGTCAGTTTGAAAGCTTGTTTTATCGTCACACACTAGCTGGTTCTGGACCTGTACGGGTGCGCTGGCCCTTTAAGAAACTGTCCACTATTGCAGAGGTGCACACAGCAGCTACATTTACGCACAATTACGCACGGGGTAACTCCACTACTTTATGCTCACGCCTGGGCGAATAACTTTAACCAGCTTGCGTAAAATAGTTGTGAGGCCTCCCCATCCCTCATCTCCGTATGCACAGAACAGCTGTTGCCTGCTGTATGGGGGGAAGAGCAGTTGACGCTTTCGGTAACCGGCACCAGCATGCGCCTTTTATTCCGCTTCAGCGCAGATGAAACACAGACTGAAGCCCCACGCAGTCCCACAGCCAGCCGATGTGGACTCCTACCCCTCCTCCTCCTCCTCTTCCTCGCTCTCTCGCATCCATCCCCAAAAACCACAAACCACGCTTCCCAACGCGCACCAGCGGGATAGACAGCATCCGAAATCCCTGGAAAACCTTACAAATCGCAGTTTCTATGCTCCAGAGGCACTCGTCAGCCAGAGCAAATCCAAAAGCAAACGTGATCACGCTGGTACGACACGGTTCGAAGTGAAATAACACAGTTTCCCCCCCCAACATTTTTAAACAGTCTCTTCTGCCAGTGCACCAACACACTCTGGTTCAATCTCCCCCTCTCCCCGCTGCTTCTACCGGCCCCAGGAATCGATCTCCGCGAGGATCGATAAGTTGGCATGAATATTCCCAGCCTGCCGAGAGTCTAGTCGGGGAGAGACGCAGGCTGGGGCTCAGGCGCAGGCAGAGAAGAGAGGAGAAGGAAGGATGAGTGGATGAAGCGAATGTGGGAATATAAAAACCAAGAAATGCGATTCTATCTATAGGCAACATGAGTGGACTGAGGATGCACATTATTATTTTTAGTCTTTTTTGTCTTTTGTGAGGTGTTTTAGCTGTTTGCTCCGTTTCGCAAAAGGCGTGACCGACAATGGAGGAGTTTTTTAAAGGGGGTGAAAAAGGATGCTTACCCGAATTGGAGCGCAGAGCCAGGGGAGACTTGAGTCGCCAGGCGTTCAGGTCAGGGGCAGTTCTTTGAAACACGAACGGCACCGGCAGCGGCACGAACATGGTTTTCTTCGTAATGCTGGTTCTTGCTTTGGTTCGGCGAGTAACGTGGCGGGACGCGCTGGGTCCTCTGGTCAGTCTTGGCAGCGGCGTTGACCCGTTCTTCTCTTGCTTCTAGACAGCGCTGGGGATGGATTCGATTTGGGGAGCTTGACATGAAGCCCGGCCAGCATGCGCACTTTTATTTACTTTAGTTTTCAATGTGCATAGACTATATTCTGCCGCTGCTTGGTCCACGCCAACACAGACAGACGGACAGACGAAGATGAGACTTTATACGCGCAACGACAACAAAGTTACGAACGAGAGCCTTTGGTAAACTATCTTTCCCTTTCCTTGAGTAAACATGGAACAGCTTTCACCGTTCGTTAAAGCTTCCAAACGGCGTGAAAAGGCATGAACAGTCGCTGTATTGGCTGTATTCGCTTTGGTATTCCAACGAGAGCAGTTCAAAGTCGTATTTGCACTCTCCGCGTGGATTAGTATTTGGTTTATTCTATAGTATTTGGTCTCTAGCTTACACACCTCTTATCTCCTGTTTTGCATTGGAGGCTACAGAAGATAGGTACCGTACTGTACTATGTCTACTGCTGCTGTTGCTCCTGCTGCTGCTTCTGTTGATGATGATGAGGATGCTGCTGCTGCTGATGGGGCGCGTCGGGTTGGCTAGTTGGCTTCATTGAAAAAGGCTGTTGTAACAAGACTAAAACGCGTACAAAAAGTCTGAGATAAAACGCCAAACAACAACACAACAGCAGCTATAGGAGCACACCGCGCGCACTCACGCCCCTCCTCTTCCCCCGTCACCAAGGCAGTAATTAAAACGCAATCAATCGATATTAGAAGGCAGTAAATGAATGGAACGTATGCAGCGAGTCAATTGAATATATGTTTTAAGCAGCGGTGCACTTGCCTATCTCCGTCCGTCCGTCTGTGTGTCTTGTTTATTTTGTGCGTGCCTATATCTTCTATCGAGCTCTCTCTCTGTCTGTTTTAACGTGGGAACCCCAAAACAGCGACCCGACCCGGCTCCCTCCAGGATTGTAGCGATCTGCCACAACGGAGCTGGCCGCAACATTGAGGCGAGAGAGAGACCCGCTACTACTCGCGCATCACCGCCTCCCCCCCTCATCCCCCTCCCCTCCCTTCCCTCCCTCCACACCACACACCACCGCCCCCTTTCGTTTTCACTACCGCTGCAAAAGGTATCCTGTATTGATTTGTGGGATTTTTTTCTCTCTCTCTGGTAATAATAAGGGGCTGTAATGACGCCGACGGTGATCAGCGCCGCGTATAAAGAGATCTATGCGCGTGTAACAGCGATCGTGAGCGCGCATTTAATTCATCATCAAGAGTGTGCGCGGGCATTATGGGTTATCATTGATGAAGGCACAAGAGCGCCTCAGATGGACAAATACGTGGACGTGGATTGGAGCATAGACAAAACATGACCAAATGGATTATCAATGTGTTCTCTTACTCTATGTATATATTAGTTTAATCTATTATTATAATCTGTGCTCAACAGCTTTCTGCCTGTGTTTCATCTTTAAAATACGAAAGGTCTGTCATTCTCATAAGCCCATGAGCTTAGTCAGTGATACTATAGGCTCATGGGTTGTATAACACAAACTACAATTAGGCCTGCACATTTTAAATGTCATTAATGAGTTTTATATTATAGTAGCCATAAGATGACAGGTAAAACAAATATACATTTCAATTACACATGTACCTTCATACAAACTACTCAATATAATTCTGTATTGTTTTCATATATTATGGAAATGTCTGTAGACACATCCAACTATCGAACCATGGTGTTATAATCTAAATAATGTATATTTCTAATGATTGTGTATTGAATAGGCTTTGGATATGGCTGGGATATTGGACATATTGAATTTATATTTGTCACCATGTGTATGGGTATAGGGCACACTAAGCACCTTACATCTGCATAATACTTTCTTTGTGTCTTTCTACATCTACTTTCTTGCTTGAAATGGACTTTTACTGTTGTTGAAATAAACAAGATAAGTTAAATATATCTCCATGCGTGTCTTTATTTCTCCATAGATAATCTTGGAACTCCTACTCTTCTCATAATGTTGGGGGAAAAACAAACACCGCTCTATTGGCCGAGAAGGACACTTGAAAATGCCCGTCAATCTGTTATGATCACTCCATATTCCTTGAAACTGCAAACCAAACAGCTCTAGATCTCAACAAACGTAATGTAAAAACAATAGAATGAAACACATTTGAACACGACATGTTATGAAAAAGTTCCCCCTTTTCTATTTTCTTCTGAAAGCAGCGTGCAAAATTAGTCCGGTTGCATCTCATATCTTGTGAGCTAAAAGAGTGTGTAGAACTGACAGGACTGGGAAAAAATGAATCACACTGAATGGGCAGTTCATGATCACTTGGCAATGATTGAAAAAAGAAAATGTCTTAATTGTATTGATTTTGGAGTCCTTTATTTGGAAATGAATTCACGTGTGTCAGGCCTTGACCCGTTGCCCTGTGCCCTTAACCTCTCTGTTAAGTTGAGGACTGCAGCTTGGGATCGGGAAACATACAAAGCTCAATGATTTGTCCACAATACTAAATTCTAATTTTCCCAGTACAGAGAAAGACAAAGAATGTAAAGGCATAATCTTGTTGAAAGATATTTGTATCTAAGTTTCTCCACACCCCAAAATTAGGACTCTTGGACTATCAATATTATTCTTTTTCTTTGCTCATCTAAAACACTAGTGTCATGGATCTTGTGAAACCATTTGAATGATTAGACTTATAATTGCATTTATACATCCAACCCCCACACCGGAAACTCGAACTATCTGATTTGGCATTGTCAGTTCCCTGAGTTTGTTATATTTAGATTAGGGACTCAGGGACCATAATCAGAAAGAAATCAGATAACTTGAAGCAGATTTTGCTGCTTACACACGCTTTAAGAACGTACAAAGATGCTGAGATTCAAACATAAAAATAAGTATTAAATACATATTACAGTTGGTTACATTAAGCTTAAACATGCACATACTCTGCATTATTTTCACACTTATTCATTTTCTATGAGAAAAGACTTTTTGCTGTTTTTGTCAATTCATGCTTCACTTTTTTTTTGTTTCTACAATAAAACATAGTTGACTATAAAATCAGTCATTAATAGCTATTCAGGTAGAGCTAAGACTGTGTACAATTTTACGTTGGAATTGAGACAGTACAGTTTATCATTTATTATGCATTACCTTAAATAATAAATATCTATCTTGTTTGTTGTTTGCTTATCCCATCTGAGGGCTCTTATTCCTATTATCCTGAAATGTGCACAACAATGACATTGTTGAAATGTCCACAATGGGAATAACAAAGGTTCTCATATCAGGTCTGTGTAATAGTTGTTAGCTATATGGCGTATGGACAAGGCATTGGTTATTTGTAACAATGTTTTTTGTTCTATCTCTATCAAATAAACATGTCATAAATAAATATTATACATAAAGAGATTATTCAGCAATCTTCTCAATAGTTTTGAATATAATTTCAATCATATGCCTGGTAACAGTCAAATGGGAGATCAGATGTTTATCAGGCAACATTGACGAATGACTAATCTCTTATTATCAAAGATCAAATCAAATGCCATAATCACACATAAACATAAACACAATGCTGTATAAAAACAGTCAACAGCCTATAGATTTTTCCAATGTGAAGCTTTTCTTATTCAGACACAACCTCCATGCACCCGCTGCCCTCCTCCTCATCCTTTCTGCCTTGAATCCACATAACCTGGGCCTTCCTCTGCGAGCCTCTCCTCTGCCTGCTACTATAAGCCACCATGCACCACACGCTGTCAATTACAAGACCGCATCAGTCAACAGGACCCACCGCTTACACACCAGATTATTGTCGATATAGATTTTTAAATAGAAAAATCTATAGCCTAAACATCCTAGTCAATACGGACGAATCAATAGGAATGAGCAGCTCCGGAGTATGGACTTTGAGATCTGGCATCCCGGAGGACGGCGTAAAGATCAACTGTTTGGACAGAAAGGAGAAGACCATAGTTGTAAGGCACCGTTTAGGATCGTTTTTGAAATACGGAAATCGTTCCCGTTCTTAATTAGGAAAAATGTGTCTTTCTTTGCAGCAGGCTTTATTGTCCTATGGTCTCTACGCTTCACGAATGACAGATGACACAAGAAAGGAGGGGAGTGGGGAGGAAGAGGAGCAAAGGGGCCCACACTGCAAAAAATATACACATCTATTCTATAGGATTTAAAATGGCTCTCTGTCCATTTGAGCCATGACCACATTTCATATGACATCAAAACAACTGAATTTAGTGTCTTGTTTTGAAAACTTTAGATGCTAAAGTAAATAGACCAATGTTGTAATATCATATACATTTTAATTGACTTTGAACGAATCCAACACACATATATTTAACAAAAGTCCAAAGTATTCACCCCATATCAATCCACAAGCCATGTCACAGTTTTGTATTGTATCCTAACAGACAGAATTCCTTGTTTGGAAATATTATTTGCTAATTTTTTAGGATATTTGCTTCAATTTGATGTATGTATTTTCCAATTCCAAACAAAATGATCCGTCTGTGTTAAAATATGAGTTGACATTTAGAAGAATGCTCTTACTTTATGCTATAGATAGAAAGAAGACGGATAATAAAGCAAATTAGAAACTGAATATAAAACTGTCAACAAAATCAACCAACGGTCATAATATATCGCCTTTACTACACGTTCAAATGTTGAGCTTCTGCTTGAGACGAAAAAAAAAAAGAAAAAAAACACACACCATTTTTTGGGAGCAGCGACCGACTGTCCCTCGCAGACCCCCTTCTCTGAGCTGAGGGGGTCCGTGCGCTCTACCACCCCTCCCTCCTTCACCCCCTCCTGCCCACCGCGCTCCTTCCAGACAAAAGCAATTATTTCTTGTAGAATGTAGTGTGGTTGTGCGCGTCTGTGGAAGAGAAGGAGGGATGGAGGGAGAGGAAAATAAGATGGTGTTTGTGGGTGATGCTAGCACCTATAAGGCAGACCCCCCCTCGCACCCCATAAGTCCACTATATGCGTGCACCCTGATTTTGGACTGATTTTATTTTGGGGGGACTTTAATTTTTTTGGACAAAAACGCAAACATTTCTAAACACTCTAATCGCGCATATGGCATTTGATTTTATACCTGCCAGTGCTAAAAAAGTTAATGCACATAAGAGAACTGCAACAGAAAAGGATTCAAAAGTTGTGGATCAAGTGGTTGACATTGAATGTTTTCATTGAAACAAGAGTGCAGATAATCAGTTGGTAGAAATTATACTTTAAATGCGTCTAAACACTTTCAAAATGCTCATTTTAACAATATTTCGTCAAAGAAATTGCACATACATTTCCAAAAAGGCATTTGTTTTATTTCTCTAGTTTTTCTATATGAGAAAATCATAGTTTGAGAAAGACCTATTAATACATATTTTGAATAAAACAAAAACATTTAAGGACAATGTTTATGAAAAGTAGTGAATGGTTCTGACGTTCTCAATTTCAATGTCACTGATACACACTCAGTTCTTTACATACTTCTCCAATAAAAAAAATTATATAACGTATTTATTTGCGATATTACGCACAGGCATTTTGGCACAACAATTCTATGGCTCAATCTGCACAATGTGAAGATTCCATTTACAGGCAGGCACAAGTCAGCACAACAGTTGTCAGCAGTCATATGATCAATAGTGAGATTTCTAAATATGATCCCCTCATAGCAGAGAAACGCACAATACGTCATCTTTAAACCTCAACATGTCAAAAACAGTGTCTACTAAAAACATTCAATATCATCAATGACATTATCCAAGTCATGAACTTAACCATTCCTTTTCTTAGTGGCATGACGCATCTCCATGTGTCCAGTCCGCACTGTACTGGGTGACTAAAGTGACCTCCAGGCCCTCCCTTCTCGTCCTGTGTGTTTGACCGGAGCCTATAGGGCCCCTGCAGCGCGCGCCTGTCCGGTCTCTGGAGAGTCATAGCTGCGCAGAGGCACTACTCCCCCGGGGGGCGCTCCGGCCAATAACCCCTGCTGCCAAACTGTGCACAGGGGCCGCGCTGTCCTGATTGTCCACCTCCCGCCCTATCAAGCCTCTGAAACCACAGCAGATATATGGTCGCATATCATCTTTTTTTTCTTCTTGTATACCACTCTGTGAAAAATTGTGTCCCCCATACAGTTTGCTACTTCTTGTTCTGCACTTCAGCATAAAAAGCGTAATGTGGATTGGTGGTGTTGGTGAAAGGGAACTTTGCCACAAACTAGAAAGTAATTGTAATCTCCCAATAATATCAGTCATGTTTCTTCTTATTTTGTTAATTTTTCAATAATTCCACACTAACGCTATAGTTACTGTAGCCTCAGCTGCCTTGAGGTAGACTAATGGAAGTAAGACTGCCAATAGCATTGTCCCCTCCAACCATCACTCACTACAGGACATATTCATACTGGACAATCCGGTGGTATTGTGGCTAAAGAAAAACATTCTCCCACCCCAATCCCACACTCACTTTACATTTTTACCAATATACATGCATGAATGACATACGTCTGTGTGTTATTTTCAGTATTTGTTCACAAACCAGATGTATGTATTGGGAATGTGTTCTGAACTGATTCTGAATCTGGTTAATTATCGGTTAAATAAGTAAGACATCACAAACATTAAAAATAATTGTCTTTGTTATTATGTGATATGTAGAAAAATTATCTATACATAAGAAAATCAGTAATGTAGGCAAAAAACAGCACGCACGTAGTCAAATATAGCATTGTATCTGTTAAAAAACAATGTGTTGACGCATGGAACAGGTTGGACCCCGGTCTCGTCCTGTCACTCGTTTACAGAAACCTACACGCTGGCTCCTTCACCACAGAGAATAATAGTGACATTCAAATGTATTCATTGACACCAATTTCCTCAATTTCGGTCAAACACATTTCCATGTCATATAGTACAGGTCACATGCAGCGAGCCATGAAATATTTATACAATCACAACGACCAGTCACCTCAGGCTACACATTAGTCATAAAACTATAGATGCACTCTTAATGCACTCTGGGTAATTGCTTGTTATTCATTCAGTGATTGATGTGACTGCTGAAATACAGGTGCACATTATATTAGGGAGTTTAACATGAACGGTGGATGTGATTTTCAAACAATGAGAGGAGGAAATAGAACCTGGACCAGCCAATGAGCTCTGTGATAGGAGACTTGTAGCAATGTGTAGTTCACTAATTTGCCACAATGACCAAAATTGCAAGGGAATTACTTACAAATAAAAATAACATGCATGACATAAATGTGCTTGTTCTATTGGCTAGATTAGAAATATCCAATGGAACTAGATAGAAAAGAGTATAGAACTAATGTAATAGATCAATATAAAAATAGAACAGAGTAGAAATATACTCAAAACAAATGTATGCGCTTAAATCCAGCTCTTATTTACTTATTTTTCTTAGAGTATCTGACAACGATAATAAAGTATTATTGTTAGGAGTATGTTCTTTGAGTGGGTGCGACCCTCTCATCTGCAGGTGATCGCATCCATGGCATACTCCGACTTAAACGTTGGCCGTCATGTTGACAAACGAGCTGCGTAAATGAAATCCTCACTCATCAATAACGCCGTCGCGGACCAATCAATAGCCGCTGGCCTCTGTCAGCGACCTAACAAGGGCCTATTAGAATGGACCGCTAGACCCCCGCACAGTCCAACACCACTGTCCCATATTCTGCTGTACTCATATCCTCCCCGTGACACCGTAAACCCAATATTCACACAGAGCTCCTCACTGACATGGTGTATGGATTTGTCAAGATAATATGGATATGATGCATGGGTCTTTATGAGCTGCAGTTTGGTGTTAGGGCAAGAAGTGAAGGAGAGAGGGACAAGAAGGAAGTGATGTTTGTGAGTGAGAGGAGTGTTGGTCAAACTCAGTAGTTTTACTTTACATGGGCAGAGGATACATGGGCCAGGTCCACGTTCATTAAAATAGAAGATCATGTTGTTTGACAGCTCTTAGCTTTCATTAAGATAATGCATTTAACCCATCTTACAATGTCACAAGGGTAACCTGTCCGGAGCACTGGTTGCTGCAGCGCAAAACCCAGGTCTGCAAAAGTTGATGGTCGGCTTGGTCAGGACTATCTAAGCTGGATTTTACCATGATGCATGTTTTGGATAGTGGGGTTTCTTCCAGAGCACCCAGAAGAAACCCGCTCAGACAAGACGACAAATGCAAACTCCACACATGGCCCGGGCTGACCTGGGATCAAACCAAACCATTGTGCTGAATTAGCCAAATTGGCATTGTGTTTAAACGCAAGAAAATGAGTGCAACTATTTAGGGCTATCCTTAGCGACAGCCAACAATACAAAACATTCAAAGGAGGATGCTTATCATGGGTCAGTAGTCTTTGGTTTTACATTTAGATTGTATCAACTATAAATATCCAGGTCTCATGCCTTTTTGCACTCATACACAACACTTTTCTCTAACATGATTGTTGACATGATGGGATGTGAACAGCGCTGTTCCCATATCTACTCTTTGCCAGGCAATAAAACACTTTTAACTCTTCATCTTTATTAGTATAGTATAGAATAAGACAATATAACAAGAGCAAGTCTGTGGTGGAGGTATTCATCCTCTCTCTCATCAAGTGTGTATGATTCCGGTGTCCGTGCTTATCCGTCTGTATGATGTAGTAAGAAAAAGTCTCGACCAGTTGTATAAGCAATCCATGACACCTTAATCACCTTGCAGGGGTTTTAACCACATTTTGTCAAAATTTTTATTGGGTCATTTATTTGGTTTTCTTGAGTGTGCATGTGTGTCTGAAAGATAGAGAGGAGAAGGTAAGGTTAGTGTGCAATTGTGTCAGATAAATGGAAAAGAACGATGGGAGGTTGTTAAGTTTGTGTGCCAGGCAGCGCGTGGGCGTTCAAGTTCAAATCCAACTGATCGTCCAAAAAGACACCGACACATTCACCGGAAGAGAACAGTCACCGCTCTTAAAAGTGATAAAATAGTCACTCAATATCCCACACTGCATATAACACAATCTTTCTTTCTTTTGCCTGCATTTCTCCAGCTCTAATCGCTTCTCCTTCCACCGACAAGCTGCTGATCCGGCAAAAACCCCTGTTCGCTTTGAATTCCATGTCGTTTTTATTAACTTTTATTAACTTTGCCTCTCTCTTCCGTTTTCTCCCTCAATAATCAATGCTGATATATTGCCAATATCCCCTTGTGTGGTCCCTGGTGCCACCTTTCAGAGCGCCGCTGTTATTGGAGAAGATTGTCCAATAATAATGATGTTTATTATAGATATTTATTATCAGGGGTTCGCTAAAATGGCACAGGCAACAAAACAACATATAAAGTTGAATTCTAGGAGGAGCTATTTAATTTAGCCTGTAACGCGAGGTGATTATTTGCAGAGGAGATAGTGGCCAGGTTATCAGGGGATGGCCAGTGTATACAGTAAACACATTGCGGAGTTTGGAGTCCAAGGTCTGTCGACACTGAAGGTGCGATATGGAGGAGAGCACGGAGGTAAGGAGCCAGAGGGAGGGGTCAAGTGTGGAGCCAGATTATGAATGCGAATTGCACAGGAAGGGCACGAATATGGCCAAGGGGAGTGGATAAGAAAAAGGTTCAAATGCCTATGTGAGCTGCTGTAGAGGAAGTCAACACAATTTTACATTACTAAAAGATGTAGTGTCATTATAGGGTTAATTTGATATACTTTTTGCAATCTTTCAACTTCATGTTTAATTAATTACAAACATAAGTGTGGTATTTAAATTTTAAAATGCCCAAAATACAGTATAACATGAAACACAATTATATTTTTAGATTTTTTTATATGTTAAGGTCCCAAATTAATGTGAAAAAAAAAGTATTGTCTTTTAATCAATCATTTGTATACTGTGATGTACTAATAATAAAATAATGTTGTAGTGGTTTACCTTTTGCTAAGACATAAAACACAAGAATCATGAACTCTCACAGGACTGCAAAAATATTGTCAAGTCTTGATTTTTGGAACAAAGACACAAAGACTGTCTTATTATCAATAATAACTATAATCATGCATTATACAATTAAATGAGTGTTTTATGATTCCTTCCCTTTTCCCTTATATCCGATGGTGCACATTTCCCATATGTGGCTTTTTAATAAGTGCATGCTATAAACTAAGGACTGAGAGTGTCTCTAATATTAAGACCCGTACAAAAGGGTTTGAGATTGAAACAGTGCGCTCGGTCCAGGTGGAGACACACACACATTCAGCATCGCCCCCCCAGGCCTCATCTACCCCCCTCCCCCACTCCAGGGCCCCAGACGGTAATCCAGCCGAGCGCTCCTCATCCTTTCACGTATCGATTTCCTCTCCTGCTCTGCGGTTACATGTCGCACCCACGTCATTGGCTACCACTGCCCTCCTCTCCCCCATCTCCCCATCACCAGCACCATCACCCCCATCGCCCCCTCCCATCTCACACGGACCCCGCAACAACGCACCGACAACAACAACACACATGCTGCACTGTAAAAATGAGCATTATTCTAAATTTGACATGAACGTATTTATCTTGATTCATTTTGTTATGGGAAGTGAAAAAGTGATAATCAATGCTATTATCCTATCTGTATTTAAACCCCTGAGGAAAATATTTTGGGGCAAGTGTACATTTAGAAAATTGGGAAGTGAATTTGAGGTTATTTTTGTTTTTAATGTGGTATTATTTATTCTACATACATATTCAACCAAATGTATAAAAAAAATCTTTAATAGATTTGTTTTGAAACACATAGATTCAACAAATGGACAAAGAGAGAAAAAAAACATGCATTTTCACAATTTGGATTCCAGAAACTTTCCATTGCCTACCTTTTTGAAACAATAACAACTGATATACATGAAATTGATTCTTTAGATATTGATTAAAAAAATTAAATCAAGTCAGATCCATCTAAACTTCCAATGATTTAGGTTGGTTCTTTTTGCAGTGTAAGGACATGTATAGGGAGGGGCCATAGTTGTAGGACCATGGACAGAGGAACAGGAGGGGAAAAATACTATAGATAAAGCATTGCAGTATTTCAGCAAAGAAACCAGCATTTTACAGGGTCTGAAACAAACATGGAGGACTGATGGAGGAGGGGGTCTAAACCCAAAGCCTCCCTGGGGTGTTGCAAAGGATATTGTTGAAATTATGTGCGACACACTGGAAGTCCGAACAGCAAAAGATTTATTTCATATTTGTCTTTGACGCTTGAAATTTATGACTGTTCGGGACGGTATGGGATCTCATTTTATGGACACATTAGAAAGACCTCGCCATGGCCCTGGTTTAATTGTGTCTGATAAAAGTGTCCATTATATTCATAATTAAATCTTCCTAAAATGTGAAGGACGCCTGGATGAAGACTTATCTGTAATTTATGCATGTCCTGACAGCGCTGTTGAAATTAAGACGTTCTCTCGCACACACGCCATGCATGTCAATGTGACTTTTCAATAATACCAATGATGAAATCACAAGATAAAGACAAAAGTTTGAAAACACATAGAATTCATTTTTGTTCAATCAACTTTTATCTGGTTACAATGACCTGTTTAGAGGTCGGCCGATACAGTTTATTCAAGGCCGATACAGACACAGATAATTAGTAATCAAAGAGGCTGATAATGGATGTATAGAGATGAATAGAATAAAGTGCACATATAAAGACAGTAATAAGTTGCAGTGAAAGGGAAAATGTTGGTGTAAAAATGTTGAATTATACAAATTCCAACAATACAAAAACATGAATAATAGCTCCCACTGTATAGACTGCATGTTATGATACAGCAAGAGATTTAAACCACTGCAGACTTAAGGGGTTAATTTTGATCAAAATAAACCAAACTAAACTTATCAGACAGCACTTGCACATATACAGTACAGTAAGTAGCACTGTGTGCAGTAAAATAATACATTTTGGTTTAGTTGTATCGTTGTTGTTTTGACAAGTAGACTGGACTACTAATAATTTGACAAAAAATAAAATAAAATACAATACAGACATGCTGATAATTGGTCGACCTCTAAGTGCAGTTTTTGAACTTAGTTTTTTTAATCGGTGGGATGTGGAGGATTTGACAGTGTCAGTGAATTAGAAAGTGCTTAAAACAAATGTGCTATGTTACACTGACCTCGGAGCACGGCGAGTCAGAGTGCGAGTGCGGAAAGTTTCTGCGTAGGGTCTATGCCATATAGGGTCTATTTGCCGGACTCTGCCACGGACTTCTCTTGCTCTCTCCTACTCTGCACTTCATTACTTATACAGAAAACCCCTGTTCAAAATGATTAGAGAGTCGCTCTAGGAATGTACTGAAGTATTTGCTGTCGAAAAGATTGAAATGATTTCTCCTTACAAAAGCAATATACACAGACTCAAAGCTGTAATATTTATTTAACAATGGGTTTCCGCCCTAAATGGTAAAAAGGGATTGAAAACAAGTCTTACATTTCCAATTTAGTGGAGTCAAGTAAAACATAAAATCAAGTAAAAATAAATGTACAACCTAAGCATGGACCTGAGTTATTTTCAGATTTCTTATGTTCCATGGTTGAATTGGCAGGAGAAAAGGCAGAGAAGAGGGACAATAAATATTCAGGCTAACAACATATTCATTCTTCAATCTTTTGTAATAATAACCGTTCACAAACTTGTCCATTTATATAAAAAGCCTGGTTCGGGAATAGCCCATAAGCAACAATGTCCTCTGTCTGAAATAATGCGACGTATACAAAGACAAAATGGCAGATCTATTGCAATATTACAGGCCTGACAAAAGTGCAATTCAATAAACAGCATTGGGGTACACGGAGGCGCAGCAGCAGCAGATATACTCAGATCGGACTGATGAGAACTTAGCTCCAGAGGCCGCAACCATTTCAGCAACCCGTCCCAACATTTATTTCACTTTACCTTTTGTTTTATGAGATCTCCCCTTCCCAATGCTTACCCCACGGGCAAAAGAGGAGACAACAGAACACAAGCAAAAAGTGTATATAGTGTGGAGGAGCGTGCTGGTTTGTTTATCCATCCATTTTCAAAACAAACTTAGTTGGCAGTGTACAGATTTTCTGGGGGAGGGTCTGCCACCGGATTTTGTAATATCTCTTGACCTTCATTTAACCAGGCAAGTCCCACTGAGATTTTAAAATGTATTTTTGGGAACTGTATAATACATATTTTTAAGTGCTAGTGGAAACAACAGCACCCTAAGGAAACCTGCACAGACACGGAGAGAACATGCAAATTCCACTCAGAAAGATCATGTCTGGAGGTAGAATCAAACCCAGAACCCAGAAGAAGAGAGAGTGCTAACCACTCAGCCACTGGGCCGTCCTGATTTAGTCTGCATGGATATGTCATGTAGCTCCTTCCACGTTTTGTTATTTAATCCTTCTGTTTAACACATCATACTGTACTTATGATTTTTTATTTTTTTGTTGTTGTAATGGTCACTTATATTGTTGCAGGTCAGTCACTTCACAGCAGAAAGACTGAAAAGGTGTAGGCATAAGCGAATGCATTTTTTTCCTTTTTGTCAGTATAAATGAATGTATACATTAGAATTTACCTGCTGTTCCATGGATTCTATGACAAAGAAACATATCGCAAATCAATTTTGGACTAATCTTTTGTGAATATGACAGAACGCACCAGTCAGTCACTATGAAGCTTTGGAATGGGGCTGTATGGCTGTTCAAGATATCAGAAATTCTCTCACTATTCAGTTTGAAAAAGCAGTTCAAAATCTCTACATCATGGGACTATTATAGAGTTTTGTATATGCACTGTATACAGTCTACATACCCAGCCATTGTCATTATCTTGGCCATATTTTGGAGATTCTGGTATCATAGAACAAAACATACAAGTAGTTTCTGTTGTTCTTATAAATTGAAAATTTGACAATAAAGGACTTCACACACAATAAATGGCTTCATTCATAATCACCAAAGACCAAAACCATCTACTTTTCTGTAGTTATAATTATATTTATAATCATACAGATATTTTAACATGCTGTGAAGAGTCAGCAATAATGGCAATATTCATTTCAAAATAAAAAGCAATATATTCATTCAAAAAGCAATATTCATTTCAAAATAAAAAAATACAGAAATTCAGTTTGAATTTCTCTCTCACACACACGCACACACGCACATACACACACACGCACACTCACACACACCTAATCGTATTACAGTTTGTATGAAGCTGTTCCAGTGGCATTACTTCTGTTTTATTTTGGTCAAATGCATAAAATAGGGTTAGCTTTATTTTGGATATCTAATCAACTATCAACAGTTAATTGAAAGAATAATTGCCCAACTCATCAGTTAACGAAATAATCACTAATTACCAATTTACCGGCCTACATCAAAGATATATTTGTATATCTATTTGAATGGGACAGAGCATGAACTTTGTAACTTAGAAAGTATTGTTAGTAACTTTTAAAATTATGTATTTATTTGTATGTATGGATGGATAGGTTTACACTGCCCGGGGATCAATGAAGTAACTATCTAAATATCAATCTATGAATGAACAGCATATCTCCATGAAGATAAGTAGAACCCAGAGAAGTTGTGGTGCTCTCCTCTAAGTGTGTGTCTACATGCGTGTATGCATCATGACAGTGAACCACGGGCCACAGCGTATCAGCAGAACAAACAGAAAGACCATCAGTCCCAGGCAAACAGCAGCCGGCCCAGCACATGCATTTTAAACCCTCATTGTATAAGCAGCTCACAGCCTGCTACAGATAATATGTTATCTTAGATTTTATGACAACACCAGCCAAAAGTGTAAACAGCACTGATATGTTTAAGGCAAAATCTCTCCCTTAGTTTTACACAAATGCAACCCCATATCAGATCCCCGCTTATCGGTAAAGGGCAAGTTTCATGGACAATATTGACAAAAATTAAAAGCTTGTTGAATTTTGGGGATAACGTAGATAACATTCTTCCATTTATATTTTGGAAATCTCCCAGAAACGGTGCTTGCAAGGACCTGTAGGTATGAAAGAAGAAGTTCCAAACTAATTGAAATTGATTTGATCCTGTTTAGAGTACATTTCAAGTTTTTTTTTTTTATTGATCATAACCCGATTATTTTACTGCTTTCATTTACTAAGGGTAACACAATTCTTAATTTGTAACATTAATTTGCATTTTGACGGAGAAACCACCACAACCACCATCCGCATCAGCGCCCCCAAAACTTTTTGAGCCATGACAACAATCACATGGCACACCACCTGCTGAAACTGATACAAACAGGGAACTCTGCAGCCTTTATTAACAATATGCAAAACCAATCTCATCAAAGTCTATTATAAAGACATTATTTTGACCACTTTAATAGATCAATTCAACGGACACACCAAACAACCTCTCTAGGCACACAAACATGCCATAAAACACA